TACTTGGAACAGCTGGTCGGATTTTCAATATTCTTTCATTGATATTGTTCCTAAGTGCTATAGGCAAAAATTATACCGTGCGAAACCGCAAGCGGAAGCTAGTTTCATATAGATAGGTAATTATTTTTTTCAAGAAGCTGAACGCTGTAAAAGTCTTAATTTCAACCATGACGATGTCGAAGAATAAATTGAATATGATCCCTTTTGCAGTGGAATGGGGAGAGGCTGTGGAAGGTCTCGCGATGGCCGTAGTGGATAACCGCGTCAACGCAGACTGCGGCGACGTTCGCCGTACCGGCGACTTCCTTACACACCGAATACTGAAGGCGCTGCAGAACAGCATGAAGTTTGAGAAAAAAGTAAGAATCCGAATCTCATAAGGTCAATTAAAAGCCCTCTTTACACAAAGAAGGGTCGAGTCGTGTGAGGTCGTGGACTTTTTTCTTCCGAGTTATATGTACTTTCTATGATTATTTAGACCTCACTGACATACGGTGAAGGAAAACATCGTGAGGAAACCTGGACTTATAATTTCTAATTATAAGTTTGAAATAGCCAACCCGCATTGAACAAGCGTGGTGATTAATGCTCAAAACCTTCTCCGTATGTGAAGAGGCCTTTGCTTAGCAGTGAGCACTTAAGGGCTGATAATGATGACACTAAGAAGGATGACGATCACTAGGGCCAAGAATTTGATTTTTTATTTTTACAATTGTTTATTTTTTTCTACACAGAGCGGGTCTATACCAAACCTGAAGAATTTGTAATACGACTAAAGCGGAATCATCGTCATTGGAAGATTTTATTGGTGCGATTTTTTTTCATACTTTTTTATTTTTCTTCGGAAGCCTTCGATATGAGCTTCGTACTTACGACATTATCGTGTTACTAGCAATTAGCTTCATTGACGGAATATTGCTAGATTTTATTGATATTACAAAGTACTTACCAGTTGATGGAATTTTCAGTTCAGTTGGAATAAATATTTTTGACTAAGGTCTGATTTTTCAATGGTTAGATAAAAGTTATCTGGGGAATATTATGATGCTGTTGCGACAGAATGTTTGTATAAGACAGTTACAGCAACAATTTTATTCCTTAGATAACTTTTATCTGACTATTGAAAATTCAGCCCTTAGATTCGATAGTGACAGTAGCATATCATTCTTCACCTCTGTTCTGAGAGGTTGATTAAGATCATAGGTCACTGGTACTTTACCGACCAAAAAAGTAGAGATTATACGTTTGTTATAAATCAATACTGCAGTATCTTGATTCTGCGGATCAAATTTCTCTCATATACATTTCATTTTCTTTTGTATGTAGCTAAGTGATAGATACTGTTACGTGCCTGACGTCACGTTCCTGACTATGCGGGCTTGGGTTACGGGATTGGATAAAATTAAACACTAATACCGGTTTTCAGACTTTCTATTGCACTTAAATGACAGTGTCCACCGAGTTAAGTTTTCGGCGTTCCTCTCCAGCAGAGTCCGGGCGACTGACACAAGCTTCCGTTTGCCGCTCACAGTTCACGCTGACTTTCACTTAACTCACTGCACTTCACTATTTCACTGCACTTCACTATTTCACTGCACTTCACTATTTCACTCACTTTTCTTCTTTTTCACTTCTTCCTTTTCTTCCGAATCGCTTTGGACTTAGAACTCAACTGCCAGCGGTGAGCCGCAGTTCTGCTTATATACCCCCGGTCAGGTTCTGGAACATTCAATTTCGTTATTCTTTTTGATCGTCATGCCTCCAGAACCTTCCAATAATTTCGTTATTCATTTTTATTTATTCTCCTTCTCGCTCTTTAATTTTTCATTTCTTTCACACAAATAATTCCAGAAAGTTCGACAAAACTTCTATCAACTAAAAAACTTCATGTTTACGGCGGGACTCGAACTCGGGGTCTCTGTGGTGCAATCCACACGCCTTAACGATTACACCAACTCGTGTTGACAATTCACGACGAAATTTACAATCTCTAGGCACCGTTTGACACCCATCCATTGACGTCATGATGTCAAAGAGTTTGAACCACTTTTCCGTCACAATAGTTTATTTTCGCCAAATGTTACCGTAAAGCTAAGTTAGGAAAACTAGTTAACCCGTACTATTGTTTCTATCATAAACTATCTTAACATTTTAAATTTTCCAACAGCTTAGCAAATTATCCGCTGAAACGACAGATTTTTACGTGCCGGATGAAATTTAAGGCGATCCTGGGGAGTCGTGATTTGAAAGCCAGCGACCAGAAGATCAGTCGTCACGATGTTTGCTCATAGTTTTAATATTTTTTTTATATTTTTTGTATTTATATAAAAAAAATAGAAATTGTTGTTGATAAAAATGTAGTTAAAACAAAAATTTTGTGATTGTCAAGATGTTTGTATGTATACTTGTATTATTTGGTGATATATCCTTGTATACTATATAGGTATGTTTTACCTTTAAATTATTTTTAAATCGAATCAAATTCACTTTAAATAAAAAATACTAGAAATTTCTTCGGTATTGTGGGTGCGTTTCCAAAACGAAATTTATGGATCACACAAAGAACACATCGCACGGAACCGTGCGTTGCATGTCAGCTGGTTGCCCAGACACCGCGTCAGTCGTGCAGTTAATTTATAATTAATTTTTAAATGTGGTTCTTTTTCTAATATTTGTTATTGGTGATTAAGTTGATAAATTATGACTCTTAAATTGAATTTAATATGAGTTTATTTGGTTAATAACATACTTTTTTGTAATAAATGAATTTTTAATTACAACTTTGTCGTTTTACATTTAAGCTTGCACCTTCATGCTTTTCTGTTTTTAGAAAAAGAAGCATCCATCAAGGATTTACTCATAAAAACAATTATTTTTTGTTAACACAAAAACTAAAGAGACGGTTAAAAAAGTCTTTGTTTTATGTGATAGTTCGTCAAACGAGCAGACGGATTACCTGATGGTAAGCAATTGGCGCCTTCCAGGATGGCCGCAACATAAGAGTTACAAGTTCGTTGCTGGCCTTTTGTGGAATGTATGTGAGGATTGGGGATTTGATTAAGGATGAGAGGAACATAAATTTGGATCTATGGGGCATTGGTATCATTCCGATCCAGGCCCGGAGAACGGACCAACCGTTCGTGCCAAGCCAAGCATGGCTCTCCCACACTTTTCGAACGTAGAGGAAGCTAAAAGAAGTGAAAAATCCTAATGTGTCATAAAAGCTGTCACTCTCCAACAACAACAGAGGAGGCACACGCCTGTGACTCCTCTATTGTTGCAGATGTCCATGGCAAGTAATTATATAGAAAGTCTGTTAAGGTGCGCACGGTTCAATAAATAAACAATTTCAATCCCAAAACCCAAACCTAAAATGATCCTATCATTTTAGGTTTTTCATAAAAAAACTGTATAAAAACTTCAATTTACGCTCTAATAGAAATGAAGACAGATCATATATTGAATTTAGTCCGTAATTAAGCTAATAAAAAACAATACAACGCTTCTTCTTCTTCTTTGTTTCTTCGTACAGCAAAACAATACTAGAATCAAACGAATAAAAATTCGAGAGTAGAGACTATGTATGAATATAATTTTTTTTATGTAATAAGTCGGCAAACGAGCTGACGGATTACCTGATGGTAAGCAATCAGCGCCGCCCATGGACACCCGCAACGGAGGAGTTACGAGTGCCTTGCCGACCTTTTAGGGATTAGGGATTTGGAGATTTAGGGATTGGGGAAGGGTCCGGGAAGGGGTAGGATTGGGCCTCCGGTAACCTCACTCACACGGCGAAACACAACGATGTGGTTGTTTCACGCCGGTTTTCTGTGAGGCCGTGGTATCACTCCGGTCGAGCCGACCCATTCGTGCTGAAGCATGGCTCTCCCACACTTAAAAAATAATATAAATGTATAAGCGCTACCAACATATATTTATTTCAAGTTTCCTGACCGCGACTTCAAAATCGTATCAAAACTCTCACATTGTTCTAGTAGATCTAGCGACTTTATAGTGATGATCAATGTACTGACATAAGTATTTGACTCCTTAAGAAAAGAAAAAATACGGGTCGATTGCTTTAAATTAATTTATTCGCCAAAAAAAACGAGTCACTTAATTTTGATATAGTATTCTCGAAGGTTCGGCCCAGCTTATTGTCGGAGGGTGTAATTTTGGTCAAGCGTTGCTACGTGATCTGACTACGATACAATGTACTTGACTTACTCAAGCTTGTTGCCCAGACGAGCTGCTTTTAGATGTAGATTGAAGGAGAGAACAATCTGCGCACTGAATGTAAAACATTTCAAACCATATTTTTTCATCAAAAAGAACAGACAGAAATCTATAATATAAAAATGAATCGCAAAATGTTGGTAAGCGCATAATTTATAACGCCTGGATCAATTTTGCTAATTCTTTTTTTGTTATGTTCGTTGTTATAAGGATAAGGTTCTTACGAGAGAAAACTTTAGAAAAGCAAAGGGGAATCGCGGTAATTAGCAATCCTTTCGATGCCTTGACCGTTCGCTTGCAAAACAAATGACTGACACCAGGGTAGTCGGGTACCAGTGCGAAGCAGGGGCGGTGTACTATTTGCTAATATTCTAGGCCCGTGTGTATGGATTAGTAGGCACTGATCGCGTTACTGGATGTTTACAAAAATATTAATGACATATATTACCACTAGTATTTACCTAGTATTATTTTAAAATGAATTAAGATTTGTTTGCTATTATAAAACTAAAAACTTTATTAAGTATAGCACCTAAAATTATTAAATATTTGGATTTCATGATTTTTCTCATCTTACACAATAAACCTGCTTACAAAATAAAACACTTGACTAAAAAGATCGGCCACACCAAAACCAACCCAAAGACACAACAGCAAAAAAATACAAACAACATTTCGAAATCGAAACGTCATCCTAAGTCAAAATTGGAATAAAAATGTGAACAAAAAAAATACAAACCACAGCAAGATAAAAAATAGCAGTGATGCAGTTACTACACGAAAACAAAACTCTGTTGATGAGCCTGAAGGATAGGAGCATGAGCGCTAACGTGACTGTGAAAGATCATTTGGAGAACATGGAGGTAAAAGAGAAAAGGTCATCAGATGCGTCATTGCTCCTGATGAACCCGGTAGCAAGCGGTGACAATGTTGCTACCGGGCTCAACTCGGCTCACAAACTGAAAGAAGAAATGCCACCACTCGTGCCGTGCTGCGAAGGAAGAGAACTACAGGTGATTATGGGAACCGCCCCTAAGGGTGACCATGGGCTTGATTTAGTATTGTAGTAGTACCTATCTGATGTTTCCAGCTGTTTAGTAAGATAGTAGAGAAAGTATTCCTATAATGCAGATATTCATTATGACTGCACTCCAATGCTTCCTTTAATTTTGAATTGAATGGATTATTCCAAGACCAGAATCAAGTTCTTGTAAAGGCGGTTAAATACATGTGTAGTAAGTAGCTTATACTTAAATATGTTGTATTAGCAAAAGACACGGGAGGACGACATAAGTCAAAGAAATTAAACCCAAAACTTTCTTAATGGACAATTACTTGACTGAGTTAACATAAATTTTCCATTCGAGCTACAGAACGTTTAAAAGCATTCAAGTTGAAAACATTAATAGTTCTGTTCTGGAACAGTATTCAACGCGGCCATCTTTCAAATTGCTGTCGGGGGCTATGAAGGCAATTTTATCTTTACCCCGCTGGGAATAGCTTCTTGTAACACTGATAGCACTTCACGAATTTCATTCTGGTTTCGATTTAAGTTATTCGTTATATTTTGTGTAAGCATTATAGATTAGATGTCAAACGTTTAATAGGTAAGCGGCAGGAATCTCGCACTTATCAACTAATTACTTAATTTGAGAGTACGAATGCTACATATGTTATCATCGGCCTAAAAGTGCCCACAGCTAAGCAAAGGTGTCTTCTCACACTGAGAAGATTTGAGCATTGGGTAATCACCACGCTTGGCCAAGCCGGATTGGCGATTTCAAACTTATAATTAGAAATTACAAGTCCAGGTTTTCCTCACGATGTTTTTCCTTTACCTTACGTCAATGTCTAAATAATCATATAAAGTTAAGAACTGTCATCATCTTTACATCTCAGAAAAAGTCACATTGGTAGTTTGCCAGGTTTCGAAACTGTATCCTCATGCATGAGATGCCTCCGGGAGACCACGACGTCCCGACAGCTACAACTTCTGTTATTAGTTGAAACTAGAATAGTATTTAGCTACAGTTACGTACTTTATTATTATACTTGATATGGGTGATGACACAATATCTTGATATTGACAACAATGTCAATGTAAAGTAAAATGAAACGATAATTCCAAAATATAAGAAATTCTAACATTTGGATATCAATCTAGCTTTCGTATCTCCTTAATTCCGTAAAACAATAACACGCTTACTTTATCTGCAGGTAAACGTAATGCGGATTTGTATACAGTCAAATCCTTTTTTGAGAAAATCATTATGTTTTGAAATTATTCTGTAAAGAGCGTGTGTGTATGTAGATATGTCTATGCCGCTTTGAGTGATTTTATTTATTTAGATATGTAGCAACTTTTTTTGCCGATATTAATTGAGTAGTACCCTCAATATAGGGACCCATATGCTGAATGTACAACATATAGAGAAAAGCCAAGAAATATGGTTTTTTCCTGCTCCGAGACGAAGCCTCAGTGCATTTTTACCTTGCACCAACAAACCTGGCTAGGCATCCATGTTGGGCCCAGTCTATGGCAGTCATCGATCACTAATAAGTTCTTTATTAGTAATCGAAGATGGCAGTATTAATAATGGCTCTGAGGCGCAAGCAGAACGCGACGCGCCGTAACCCACCTACATAAAAAAGGTTGCCTCAAATTACACATTATTGGTCCATTTATTGGATATCGGCAGTCTACCAAATCTTACCAAATAAAAATAGCAACACAGTTAAAACAATATATGAACATTAATAACAAAGTACATACCTACTAGGTTAAAATATTAGCACTTTCATTTGGCAATTCGGCTTTAGCATCGCGAGGCAATCAATAACACAATATTAAAGTCTGGTCACCGCATCAAATGAGAGCGGTCCTGTCTTTCTGATTGATGTGGTCCAATATACTCGCCTCATGGTCCATTCACGACATAGTTTATTCAACAAGAACATTTATTAAAAATATCAAACAGCGTTCCAATCTGTTGACAGACGTATGAATTGAAATTCTGGAGTTAATTGAAATTTTGAAGCCTAACATGCAACAACCGAGTAATTTCGAATACGTTGCCGGCCGTTTGGTAATTAGGGTTTTGGAGGTTTAGGGATTTGGGTAGGTTCGGGCAACCAAACATTTTGAGTAAACTTAAGTAAAATTTGAGTATTCGATTCCAGCTAATGTATTGTGCTCCCTAAAATAATTTATAATTTTCGCACCGCATTTTGTTTCGATACATCATGATGAAAATATTCGTTTTACAAAAAATATACTACAATATATTAAAAATTTTTGTTGCACACTTAACTAGCACGCTGCTCGATATTTAGCGTTTACCTAACTTAATAGATACGTTACTTTATAGTACGGCTGACGTATCTTGGCGATTATGAAGTTAGCCGTTTGTCTGCGCAATGGATCTTTTAGGAACAAAATTGTGTACTGCGCAGCTAACCGGCTAAGTTCAGACTCGCCAAGATACGTTGGCGGTATTGTAGGTAATAAAACCGTCATGAAGGTCCCAATGTAACCGAAAATCTGATGAAAAGTGTAAGAAATGGAATAGGCTGTAAATTTGAAAAAACAAATTCAACTCGATCTGAGTACTTGGTATCTGTTGATATTCAATTTTAATTACGTCAATTAGGTAAAAATGTTATTTTACAGATAAACGAGGACCTAGTTCGGAGTGGACTGTCAGCAATATCCGTGAAACACGACAGCGTGATACAATGTTGGAGCATGTCACGCGCCTGTGAGCGGATGCAAATACCACCGGGCCTCGTAAAGGTGAAAGCTTTTTCATACTTTGGTAAAACATTTAAATAATAACTAGAACGCTGAACTAAATAATAGAATTTTGAAATCTTTTATAATATTAGCTGTTAAGTCAGAACTGGATGGAAGAAATACTAAGTGGGTAGGTATTTTTATAGCTATTTAGGTAGTCATTAAATTTTTAATCACTGCATAGTATAAAACTAAGTCGCTTTCTCTGTCACTATGTACGCTTTAATCTTTAAAACTACGCAACGAGTTTTGATGCGGTTTTTAATAGATAGTGATTGAAGAGGAAGATTGATATGTATAATGAAACATCCATTAGCGCATTCAATGCTGACTTATATGCGGACTTTACGCAAATGATGAATAAAAAGCTCATTAAATAGTACCTAGAGAAATTTAGTCTCAAGCATTGTACTCCTGCGAAGCCGCTCGTGTAAATTGGCAATATGAAGTATTCTTATTAAGTAAAACAGTGTACCTACCCAAAATATTGAGTAAAAAATACTAGCCTACTTTTACAATTTAAAACTTTTTGTCCAGCATCGCAATTCCTTCCGGAGCCTTCACCGGCCCGACCTGAAACGTGTTCCGTACCTGCGTCGCATGTCCCCTGATGAACTGGAAACCTTATTCCGTGGATACGCAGACTTACCAATACGAGGGAATAACAAAAGTGGTGAGTGTGCTCTTATATTAGGTAGATGACCCCAGGGTCCAACTTTAGGCAATTCTAAAGGAGGTATAAAAAGGAGCCCCTACATCCATCCCTTTATTGCAGACCACGTTGACGGCAGATTTTTTAAATGCCCTTTCTCTTATCATACAACTAGCCTATTGCTCTTAATCTGACGGAACTTACGATTTATTCATCCCTCCTTTATCTACATTAAGAATATGGTGGGTACATTACAACCAGGATCTAGTATCCTGCATTCCCCATAAGTAAATCTGACTTGCTCAAATTACTATTGAGGATCTATTTCAGACGTTCGTGACGAGAAACCAAAGAACAAACTGCCACACGATGAGAATAGTCAAGGGAAAGAAATTGACCAAGTAAAGGAAATATGCAGACCAGATGAAGGTAGGTGTATATTTAAGACATATTGGTAGTAATCTCTTCATCTCAGTGACATTAGACCTTTTTTGGGAAAGTCATCGAATGACTTCTCCCGCCCATGGTGAGAAGAGATGGAGTGTCGGTCTCGTACTGACCACCTCCGTTCTTCCGAACGGGGGTGGTCAAAGCCAAAGCCGCGGTTCCTCATTGCGCTACTCCGCAACCCTGGCTGAACATCAGCAGAGAATAATTCAAGTTTAAATAATAATAACTCCTTAAATCATCGCTCGGCAGTCCTGTTATTGATAGCGCCAAAACAACCTTACCTACCTACTTTTTGTAGGTACCTTTTGTATAAAGTTGAAAACATTAAAATGGAAATTTTACGTAATAAAACACTTGTCGACACTTCCAACCTTATATCGATAAAATAATTATGAATAGGTAACGGTGCAAACGCACTGCTCGTCCCGATCCTGGAGACGCGGTCTGGCGCCGAAGACGTACCTGCTGGCATGAGACTGCATGGCGCACGGGCGAGGCTCTACACCTCCGTGCTTGCCGGCGCCAGAGCTGGTGATCAGTTGGAGTAAGTCAATTCGTCATTATTTTAATCCGTTAGAGATACTTCGATGCACGACGCCATCTAGTTTCATTTTTCGAAAACTCGAACTAGAAACGTGCAACGGAAAATAGGCGCTATGGTATCAAGGCAATTTTGCTGGCGATTGTACCTAAATATACTGTGACATTCTTTACTATACTCGGAATTTTAATTCCATTCCAGATTTGACAATTTCAGGGTTGCAACGTTATGACACGTACTAAATAGTGACGTTACGAAATTATTCAATATGGAAATCGAATATTTCTGAATCGATTCCTCTCGTTTACAAATTTACGTTTTCGTTTATAAATTTAACGTAAATTAAGTTTATCAGGAAATAAAATATTTCTGAACCGATAATGTAGTTTTGACAATTAATTAACGATCTGAGACTTTTGTAATTGTGTGTGAAATTAATAAAAAATGTGATCATGAAGGAACATGACAAATAAAGCAGACATATTATACATTGTCGCCGTCATCGCTATCGCTATCGCTGTTACTTTCTGTAACATTTATTATGAATTGTGTCTGTGATATTTATTGTCAATTAACATATCTAGCTTACTCATTTTTTTCTCTTCTTTGACAACATGGGATACGCATTTAGACCATTCGGTAGCCGTAATTTTTTGAATGCCTTCCTGAAACTGATTCACTGATTGTTCATCGATTTCTGTGTTCATCACTACACTGTTATATGTGGTATCATTATTTCACAAAATGACAACAGGTCATGTCAAATCAGGAATCGAATTAAAATTCTGACTATAGTTAGACATGGTAAGTGTTCCATATTATGAGATTTCTGGTAAATGCATAGCACTTATTTTAAATCAAATTCGGTAGTCTGCTATTACTATGGTTTCACTGATATCGTTTTGTCCTTTCCTTCTGTACCCGCAATCCCTTAACAACGAACGAAAGGCCGGCAACGCACTTGAAACTCCTTTGGTATTTGGGATGTCCAAGGGCAACGGCAAGCTTACCAAATCTCTTTTTTGTACCCTATGTATTATTCTAGAGTATATATAATCTATATCTCCGCCAAAATTCATCTAATTCCTTTCCGTTCTTACGTGACACAATAACAAATGTCTTTCATTATTTATACTTAGTGATCATAATATTAGTATGATCCTCCCAATAAAACTAAAACCTAATTCACCTGCGATATAAATCTTAGACTATTTATAATCGCAGTTATGTTTATCCGAGACTATATCAGACGTATTTTATGATGAATACTATATATATTTGCAGTGGCGTCTTAACTCACGAAGACTTGGACACGCGAGTCCCCGATGACCCAGTCCCCGACGAAGAAGTTCAACTCCACGAGGAACTACAAATCATCCTCCCTCCACGCTACGATGACGTCACAGCCGACTCGTCCATCACAGCCAGCTCCGTAGAACAAAATAGTTAAACGAAAACTAACCACACCACAATGTGTTAAGGTGCAAATTAGCGACAATCGGACTTTAATGAAGTTTAATATGAAAAATAGTATTGGCTTAAAAGCCCGTCAGCGTATGACGAGGCTCGTCAGCATATCTAGGAAGAAACTAGCTAGACTAGCCGTGTTCATGGACTGGATGATCAGTGACTTTATTAAGAAATTTTGATTTACTATTAATTCCCATTAAGACTGAAGTAAAATACATTTTTAATACATTTTCTTTAATCTATCACTGGTACTTTTTGTAGAGCGTCATAAATCAAATCAAATTACTTCTCTCGGGCAGATTATGGCGAGAGGGAGTGTCAGACTCCTGACTAAGCCGTTCCTCAGCTTTAGGCTGACGACGCTGAGCTTTACCCTTGGCTTGGCTAATGTCTTGGCTGAGCATTGGCCATGTTAGGTGCAATCTGTGGGCCTCTACTGGCACTTTGAAGCGTGCGCAACCGCTACGCACCGCATACTCGGGTCTGGTTCTGGTCGAGCCGCGAACTACCCTTGCTCGCCGACCACAGACCCGTGCTTACAGTGGCTGGAGTTCGTCGCTCGATCCGCGTCTGGGGCGTGGGAGGGATAGTTCCCTTACGCGCTCCACCTCTTCCTTTGCAAGCATCACTGCTTCGCAGAAAGAGGAGACGCCTTCCCAGTTCCTCTTGCTTCGCACAATGGCCTCTACTAAGGCCGGGAGCGAGAGGTCGCCGCCGCCGATCACTTCCCTGAGGATACGGCGTTGCTCAGCCCAAGCAGGGTACACTGCCACCGTGACCTCTGGGTGGTCCTCACAATGACGAAACTCGGGCGTTTTCTCCCGCCGAATCCGAAAGAGGTAGGTACCTATCGAAGCTTTCGTCTGCGGCAATTATTGGTACTAAGTTGGTTCTCTTCACAGGAATAAAACTAAATGTTTCAAGGGTGAATTTATATTGAATTTATCTTTCTACAATATTATACAATAGTTTTTTCAATCAGCAACGCTTCCGCACGAATCCCGGCGGCGGTACATCACCATTTAAATCATAAATATTTTTACATCACCGTGCAAAATAGTTGCTAGAAATTTTAATTGCACTTTAAGTTGAAAATAAAATTGTTTATCAAAGTTAAATCAGTTCTAAAGTTGCAAGAGCATGACTCATTGTATATTATGTCATGTCTAAGAGTATTTCCATCGATCAATTCGAACATTCTAGAAAATAATCATACATAATAATGTTCTATGAAATATATTTTATATCACAAAGTATAGGTGAGTTTTAACAGAAAAAAGTTAACATTTTCGTCGTAGTTACTCGCAATTACACAATTCTAGATGGAGGCAAGGAATCAGTACAAACAAATAGTAAAGATTGCCGAGATTGTAGGCTATGGACCTGGAAATAAGAGCTAATTTTGATTAGACTTCTTATTATTGATTTAACTTTCTAGATGGAGATGTTGAGGCGTAAGACGATTTTGTATTAGTAATTATTGTCTCACGTACATTTTCATTCAAATTCTATCTACTTCTAACTTCTGCTGAGAATCTAGGAGTCCGTATAACGTGTAGGAGAGGAAGATTAAAATGAACAGCGTTTTTTTCTGTCATTTTTACTTCACTAATCCCCACTCCTATTTTACACACTAGGGACAATTACAGGCTGGCTTCTCAGCCGCATAATCAACCCGAATCAACTATTTTTCTATGAAGAATCCGTCAAAACAAGTTCACATACCGGTCAGCTGCGAAACCAGCCTAACTAGTAAGAACTATTACTTAAACAGTCAACGACATCGATGTTCAACTCAAATGAGTTCCTACTTCGTTGAATAAATTTGATACATTTACTTTATACCTAAATCGTATGGAAAATCTATTTATTGCTATACATGTCCTTTACCGAAGTCGCTTAGTGTAATGCTTCAAGCTTTTTTTATATGCCTCGAAGAATTTACAGCGTTTTTAAGAATGGAGAACTAATGAAGTGTTGAAAGTTTTTTACAAAAAGTCACCGAATAATGAACTTTATTGGTATTTTAATTATATTGTATCGTTTTTAGACATCCTTTGACTATCTTTGACGAGGTGTTTCGTCTAGTTTCGTGCCACATCGGGGGCTTCATTCTGATCATTGTTGCGCAAAAAAAAACGATGTGAGAAGAATCGCGCTGCGAACTGATGTTAGTCAGTTGATCACTGTCATTTGAGCCCCTAGTGTGGGTCAAATATGTCTGGTTATTTTCCATTAATTAATTTTCCATTGATAATATTGATTCCTACTCTTAAACAATCAAGCCTGGGCAATCAGTTGCATCTAAAAATCAGCCTTGTATAAGCAAATCACCCTTTGGCAAAAGCCCTCACAAAACAAAGCTATAAAATTTAAATAATTCGCTAGAAAAATCTCATTTCAAGGTCCATTCAAGAGCCGTATTTACAAAATCAGGTGGTCCCCGTACTGAATCGACTACTGGAACGGTTTTGCGGCGCTTCACTAAGACCTGGTACTCGAAAGAAGTCTTAAATACTATTACAAAAAGCATATAACGGAATGCGTACTTTCTCCATTGAATAAATCAGTATTTAAGACCTGATGCAAAAAGAGAAAAGTTTTGATTTTGACCCCTTTATTTATGTTGGTCTGTGGTAGCATACCTCATGAACGGTTGAACCAATTTGAGTGCGATTTGTATTTATTTATTAACTGTTACAGAATTAGGAATCAAAGTATAGAAAGGGCCACATTTCCAAAATTATTTCCTCGTAACAAACACAAAATAGATTAAAATCAAGCGTAATTTACACACACAGCTCTTAGTAAAGCGCCATCACCGTCCAAGGAATCACAAGTAAAGCAGAAAGCAATAATTCATACATACATAGTGAATTTTGTCTTAGAACTTTTCGCATACAAAAAACCAACATTCAAAACAGCGACAGTAATAAAAATACTCTTCAATATGTACATATATTGCTTCAATATGTACATTATTGTATAAGGGTAGCTTGACTATTGTTACTTGGTATGTCTTACTGTAGTACCTAGGAAATAAGTCTCAAAATCGAGTGCACTTGTTAGTCAATATGTTCACATTTCAATTAGTACGAAAACTAATTCAAATGAAGCGAATTTTAATTTAATATAAATAATAAAATGAATATAAATTAAATAGTGATGTATTAACATGTCAATTTTAAATGTCCTTATATAAATAACGTAGGGTAACATATTGGTATTCGTTATTTTGTATTGATTGAATTGATTTGTTTACCCCTTGGATTAGCTAACAACAGTCAAGCCACGCTATACGAATGACCTACGCAGCGTGCATAACTATCACTTAAATATCAGTAATAAACAATATTGCGACCATCCATACATAGTCCTCGATTACCCACAATAATGCATTAGAAACTTTTATTCTACCTTACTATACAAAGGAGGTAAACATTAACTAAATAAAAAAAAATCATTTTACTTTATGTAATAATTCTATAAATAACATAAAAAAATAATCGAATATCGTTACAACAAAACTTTCTAAATTTGTTTTTTTTTTTTAATTATTTTTTAAATATGGAATATTTGATTTTGTGACAAGCGTTCGCTTGCTTGCTATCTAAGGTTGTGTTCACACGGACAGTCTCTCGCACCGTACACTGCGCACTGGAGCGTTTTGTCTGTATAACCATTATAAAGAATCAACACTGGTATTCACAATGACGTTGCTTGTTCCGGCACACGGGCGCTTACTTAAATTAAATGGCATCGACATCCTCACCTGGAAATAGACAAAATAATTTAATTAAAAACTATATAGAATTAAATATACACTATCTATAAATTCGTAACAATATTATTTCATACAGTTTTTGACAGCAAAGCCAGTGGCTTTATATTATTCCACATGAAAAAAACTCTATTATACTGCCTATATTACCCAACTGGGGCCAACAACCAATCAATCAAATAACAAGCCATTAAAGCAACAACTTAATCTTTAAGCTATGGCTTTTTGAGGGCGTAAAAACATCGAAGTACTCTTCTATCTGTTTCTACTTCTTTCTTTGGATGATTCGTTCCTTGGATGAGGCGATAGGGACTATCAAACTGTTGCTGACTAAAAACCAGCCCGTTCCAACTCCCGCTTCAAGCAGTATCGATGTATATCATTGCGTCTACGATGAAACCTTGGCATCGCATCAGCCACCTGTGGTGGTTTGATGTTTTTTTATGCAAATCCAAGGATACAAATACTTCTGTTACAATTTAAGTGTGGGAGAGCCATTATACTTCTGCACGAATGGGCCGGCTCAATGATACGACGGCCTCATAGAAAACCACCGTTAAACAACACTTACTTAGTGTCGCTGTCGCTGTGTGAGTGAGTTTACCGGAGACCCAATCCTTCCCCCTCCCATCCTTAATCCTCAAAACCCCTATTCTTAAATACCTTATAACCTACAAGAGGCCGACAAGGTACTTGTAGTGGCCGGTAATTCCTTATCCATGGGCGGCACTGATTGCTTACCATCATGTAATCCGTCTGCTCGTTTGTCGACCTATGACACGAAGGAACGTACCGTGGCGGGCGTGGCGGCTAAGTGCCGCCTACTCTGCAGCTCATAACTTGTGGTTGCTGGTGAGCCAGGTGAGCCCCTCGTACAGGCCGTCGCCGGACGTCGCGCACGACGGCTGCACGTACCAGTTGCGGTCTCGGATACGCGTCAACCCCAACTTCTCTTGTATCTCGTGGGGTTTCATTGCTGGAATTATAAACGGGTGATATTAGAAGAATTGACACTGATATCGAAGTAAGGATGGCTACATCCACTTGAATGGTAAAATAATTATTATTTTTCTGTTTTTTTTTTTAAGATAGCTTTGCTCTATTCTAGTTGTTCTCCTGTGTCGAGGATGCTTTAACAATCATACAAATTCACACACAAACCACCCAGACCTGAATCAACAACTTATGGATGACACAGTATTGTCCCGTACAGTGCATTAATGGAACCCGCGATTCGTTGCACAGCAGCCAGTTGAATAGCCACTGCACCAACCGTGAAGTGACGTTAATTTAATGTTAGGAAGATATTCGAAATACTTAATGAGGAAAGAAAGAACAAAACTGAGCTACCTTTTGGGAAAAAAGGCAAAATTTTGTAGCATATATGAATAACATTAAATTATTCTACAAAAAAACAGTAAACACGCAGCTGTCTTTTGTCTATTGCAAAATTCGTGTCACATGAGGGTCAACCACGTCCTCCAACCTGCACTCGCTCCTCATGAACGCGACATGTGACCTTTGGCCGTACAATTAGTAAATGACGAGCACATCTCTTGTGAGTTGACAAATGACCTAGATTTCTTCATTTCCTTTTGTGTCCAATGTGGAGAAACTTCTAGACCGCGCTATCTATTCATAGGTCTGCTAATAAGTACTTACTGCCTAAATTGTCAATATAATGTGACATGTACGTAATTATGTAAGAAAGTTTAACTCGTATAAAAAAATCTACAGTGCCCTAATATTATTATTACCGACAACTATTGTTTTTCTTCCTTGTGTTTTTCAGTATCGTAAGTACAGGATTATCGAAAAACTTATAAAAATAACAAATCTACAGATGCAAAACCATCCACATAAAACAATCTCTCTCTTTAAAAAAAAAATAAATGTATGAAAACCTAAATGAGGAATGGAAAGAAGAAATTTCATAATTTTATTACTAAATCTCATCTAAATCTTGAACTCAAAAAGTTAAGTAGGTAAACTGATGCACATTTTTAACTTTGGTTAAAAATGTGCATCAGTTTACGCATGTTCTATGCGTTTGGCAGAGACACAAAATCCTTTCTTCAAAATAAAACCGTAAAAAGTTCAATCGAGGACTATCGAAAATGTCCTTTGGCGGAAATAATGACCAGAAAAAAAAGATGGATCTAGTAAAATTGCTTGATGATCGAAATAATGGATCTAGTAAAATATGAATAATGGATCTAGTAAAATATGATGTTCAGACTGATGGCTAAAATAAATTGTCCATACCGTCAGGCAAGTCCTGTTTATTGGCGAAGATGAGTATGATCGCGTCACGCATTTCTCTGTCGTTGATGATCCGATGCAGTTCCTGACGGGCCTCGTCGATGCGGTCCCTGTCCGCGCAGTCCACCACGAATATTAGACCTTGAGTGCCTGAAACATTTTGATTGTACATGTACATTTCGTAATATAGAAGTTATGAGATGAATTTTGTAGAAAATATTGTATGGAATAACAACTTATGACGTTATTATAGTATTTACGTCAAGCATTATAGTTATTTCTGAAATATTTACAGGAATCTAAAATTAAGTAAGTATATTGTGAAATCAATGAATGACATTATGATTATTTATTAAAATTTTATTGTTTTGAAAAGTCTCTAACTTATTTCTCGCCTTGGAAACTTTTAATTTTAAAGGAATCGAACCTCAGGAACCCTTAAAATTCGTGCTTCTATTACTAACGATATTTTTGAAAACCAATCAACCGATTGTGCATGTAACTTGGGACCCATTGCTAAAATCAGTCAAGCTTAAACTTATAAAAAATAAAGAAAACATACAAACCTGTGTAATAATGCCTCCAAAGAGGTCGTATTTTGTCCTGCCCTCCGACGTCCCAGACGTTGAATTTGACGTTTTTATACGTTACAGTTTCCACATTGAAACCGACCGTAGGTATCGTTGTGACTGACTGACCTAATTTTAATTTATATAAAATAGCTGTAGGTTTATTTTAAGGAATTACTGTGGGTTGCGTTGTATAATAATATATTTAATTAAGGTGGTCAATTTAAGTCTCCCTCAGCAAGAGCATCGTTACAATTACAACGCTTTTTTTTTTGTTTGATTTTCGTCAGACATCTCTAAGAACACTCGCACATAAGTCACCTTTTTAAAACAAAAAAAAAAAACAAATTTAAATCGCTTTATCCGTTCAGGCTCCAGGATGCCACAGATACACAGACAAACCACACACGTCAAAGTTATAACACCCCCCTTTTCCCGTCGGGGGTTAATATGCTTAGAAGCTATTTTAAGAGCTTATATTCGTGTTTTTTTAATATAACAGTCGATGCAGAACACGTTTACACAAAATAATACGCTTTTGTAGTTAGCATAGCAATAAATTAATTTTAATATTGAGCAGCAGCAGCAGACTGCTCTCGCTGACAAAAGGATACTCGAGCTGGCTTTATTATATTGAGAATTGATCTGAATATTATTGAATTCGTGCGTATTGTATGGATTGAGATACTCCCTATTGCTTTAGATATAGTTCAAATACTACTATTGTACAATACTACGGGTAAAGAAACTTCCTTTTAATTAAGACATAAATTTAAAATTATATTTTACATAAAACCCGCCATATTAACCTTCTATTGGGAAAATACACAGACTTTATCCTCATCATCAAAATGAGTAATAGTTCCAGAAATTATGTTCAGCTGGGGTTGCGGGGCAAGCGTCATAATCTACCGCGTCCTCGGCCTGGAGCAGAAGAAGGTACGGTATGGTTTTTAGTCGTAGTTTGTAGTAAGAGTTTGACACTCTACCTTGCCCTACCAGGCGAGAAAAGTCATTTGTTGATTATTCACGCTTAAAAATAAGACATCATTGTTATCATCGCGCCGGGGTTGCGGGGCAACCGCAATGTGGGACCGTGACCTCAGCCCAGAGCAGAAGAAGGAACTTGGGGATTTTTAGTCAGTAAGAGTCTGACACGCTCTCTCGCCTTACCCTGGCCGGGAGAGGTCAATTTAGATTTTCCCCTAGCCAAAAAAAATCGTTATCAACACTTTATACGTGCCACATAGACGCTCTAAAAAACCAAAACGATTGTGTTTTTGCATCTCTTCATGTACAAAATTCTGAATCAAACAATAACTATCAAGCTATTCGTACTTTCAATATAATGCTAACATACATGAGGCATGTTTATAGCGTTTCAAGTGGTGATTATCAATGACGCCATAAAATGGAAAACACAAGAATTAAACTAGAGTTTATCTACAAGAGAGATTTTACTGTATATAACAGCTGGCAGTTTCAGTTTCTTGTTTTATTCATTTATGATCGAACTTCTGTTAAAGGAGTTAGGTTATCCGAAATGACAGCAGTCATTGAATACAGGGTTGAAGACCACCACGGTCAGTGGTGTGCTATTGGAGAAGTCTATGTCGAGTAATGGGCAGAATCGTGACATTTTTGGCACATGAATGGCAGCGATATGGTTCACCTACAATACGTAGTTTCCAACTAGTCAAATTCAATACTTTTATCCGAATGTCAAAAACGATACTTTTCTATTAAATTTGTATGAAAAACTGAGTTATAACGTCATAGTCATATTTTTGCGTCAAATAGCTTACTTATTTCTTAGTAATTAGCTACAAAATATGTAAAATGTAGTGTATCGATCGATTAACGAATGAAAGTATATTGTATCGTTATTTTTCAATATTTTATTTTATTGAAACGTCGATTTAATTTATGTTTGACCTAGGACCACACTTAGACGGTATGTTAATTATAATTTTGATAAAGGATACTAGTCTTTCCGGCTGCATCGAGGCCCAGCATCAATATTCTCATCTCCTTGTTACCGAAGATTTTTGACAATAGCTTCCCCATTGTGCTGAACTCGCCTCAACCGCACAACTGAAATAAAGGAGAAAACATGAAATTAATTATTTGACATTTAACCGGCATACTTAAAAACCTACTATTGATTGACGCTTGTGAAATGTGATCACAAGCGTCAATACCAAGTCAATAATGAAAATTGAAGAAATAAAAAAAATCTAATGACAAAGGTACCATTGAAATATAATCAAAATAAAGAAAACAAAAATCGATGAAAACTTGTTTAACTAAACCGTAATCTATAAATAAGCTGGTTTATCGGTTAGTTAAACAACTGTAACGCGTTAACTGAGAGCTATTTATTAGTTTAGTAGAAATTCGGCGATCGTAAAATAAATACGCCAACCCAATTAGTTTTCTGGATAAATATCCAACGTGGTTTTAATAAAGGTATACATTCAGTCAACAAAGTATCGGGAATGAATGTTTTTTTTATGGTTCCAAATTCGAATTTTAATTTTTTTTGTTGTTGTTAGATTGGCATAACTGTTTTCCACTTGGGCGCGGAATTTGAGTTGCATCTGTTATTTATATTAAAAACAGTGCCGTTTTTAGTTTTATAATATCTAGTGTGTATTGCGAATTTCATAATGGACAAAAACATCGAACAAAGAGTTTGTCTTAAATTTTGCATCGCCAATGAAATTTCGTGTTCGGAGGCACTCAAAATGTTACAGAAGGCTTACGGTGAATCGACTTTCTCAAAAACACGTGCTTATGAGTGGTACAAAGCGTTCAAAAGCGGTCGAGATGTGATGGAAGATTTGCCTCGTTCTGGTAGGCCATCAACGTCTGCAACTGAAGTTAACATCGCAAAAGTGAAGGAAATAGTGACTGAAAATCCTCATTCAAGTTTAAGAGAGATGGCCGCCGAACTTTCTGAATCTCACGAGTCGATCCGTACTATTTTAACAAATAATTTGGGTATGAAACGTGTTGCCGCTCGGCTAGTCCCAAAAGACCTGAATTTTCTTCAAAAACTAAATCGCATGAAAGTCGCTGAGGACATGCTAGAACGAGTCAATACCGACCCAACATTCATGAAACGCATTGTTACTGGTGACGAGACGTGGGTTTACGAGTTTGACATGCAAACTAGTCAACAAGCTTCGGAATGGCGCCTTCCAACTGATCCAAAACCGAAAAAACCACGTCAAAGTCGATCAAAAGTCAAAGTCATGTTGACTGTTTTCTTTGACTATCGCGGTGTTATGCACTCAGAATTCTTGCCCAAAGGTCAAACGGTAAATAAAGAATATTATTTGAGCGTTATGCGGCGTTTAAGAGAACAAATTTGACGAAAAAGGCCAGAAATGTGGAAAGAAAATTCTTGGATTTTGCATCACGATAATGCGCCTTCGCACAAGGCCATCATTGCAAACGTTTTTTTGTCCAAACACTCAACAAACACCATCGAGCAGTCACCATATTCACCAGATATGGTTCCAGCCGACTTCTTTCTTTTTCCCACACTCAAATTACCCCTTCGTGGCACCCGTTTTCAATCGTTAGAAGACAAAGGAGAATTCGCGGCGAGCACTGAACTCAATTCCGGAAACAGCGTTTAAAAAAAGTTTCGATGATTGGCTTATTCGTTGGCGTAAGTGTATCGTTTCTGAAGGAGCAAACTTTGAAGGTGATAAAATAAATTTAGATGAATAACAAACATTTTGTGTATTATTGACTTTTTCCCGGTACTTTCTTGACAGAGTAGTACAATTAGTTAGGCTTAATTTCTATTATAAGTTAGTGTATACTCATAAAGTCTTAGAATAATGTTATTTATTATTTATTTAAAACGAACTTTAAAATGTTCTTCATATTGTGGTTTACTTTAAATTATCTTAATTTTTTTTACTAATATTTTACGCTTTACACTACTTTTTATATTAGATATACTTTTTGTATCGTATAAGTTTAGTATAACCTTTAGTATTAATCGAGTGAGGGCTGATTTTTCAATAGTCAGATGAATGTTATCTGAGGAATAAAATAGTTGCTGTCACTGTCTTATGCAAACATAAGATGTCTGACGCGACAGCATCATAATTATTCTCCAGATAACTTTTATGTACCTAACCATTGAAAAATCAGCCCTAAGTATAATGGTCTAAAGTAAGTGACGAAAATTGTGCTCATAATGTTTGTAACCCTTACTGTAATTTTATATACGTCGATACCTTTGAGAGAATATGTGAAAATTGATATATTCAATTTGTTGTTTGAACGCGAAATCAATTACGAGGTACTTACTTCACTTAACAACCTAAACCAGTGTTGTGGAAGTTCAAACGCGGTAAAGCACTTCAGAAGTTAGCAACGATAGAGTTGAAGGATAGTTTCTATTCTACAAAGTAAGCCATTATCTTAGATTTTTATTATAAAATTAGATGTCGCGGCAACCTTTGTATAATGTGACAAAGTATTGTCCTGTCTCGTCATTTTTCTATGATTAATTTTATTATGCTATTCGCAATGGAGATAAATTTAACAAATCATGGTGGCGCTAATAGCATTTTAATAGATAATAATTTTGATGTTCATAACAATACTAGCAATGGAAATAAAAATATGATTGAAGAACAATGTATCATAAAAACTTCGGAGATTATCGTTTAGTCGAGTCGGGTCTCTCAGATTATTTTATTCTTTATCACAACATTACAGGCACACTTTTTAACCATATGATAAGTCTATCTACGTATCAAAACTTGATCACTAAAACAACACACAAGTAATTTCGCAGAAACTTTTCATCTCATATTTCGTTTTATGATGAAAAACATTACGTCGAGAAAAACTCAAACTCAAACCGCTGAAATATATCAAGGACCATTTTTACGAGACATAAATTGTGAGCGAATCACGAACTTTTCAGAAAAAAAAATTGTCAAAACTCGATCAACCAATCTTGTCTATCAAGGGACCAAGTTAAATAAGTTAGAGGTTAGTTTGAAGACACATTGACGTTCTTTATCAATGGACCTGATTCGTTGTTAGCGTTTCATCAATATGAGTTGGGAAATACGGCAATGATTTCATGGAATCGCTTTAAGTATTACCTACGTACAACGTGGAATTGTGGGCATCCAGCGAATCGGATAAGATAGGGGAATTTATCCAGCTTTGAAAGCACTGTATAGAGTTGATAAATTGGTAGTCCATTCAATGCCAGAGCTCGGTAGTCTCTACAAGTCTATCTATAGTATCTACAAGTTGAATTGGTGTATGCACATTGATAACATGACCTACAAAAACATCCGACGCAGATTTTTGCGATGCACTTTTGATGTAGTAGGTATTTAATTCTATATTAGATTTCGCATACGATGTAATTCGCGTCAATATAGATTCTGTCAAGTTATTTTTTCTTGTATTACATAACAAAAAATGGCTTGAACTCTTGCACAGTAACAATGATTTTTGTTTATATACTTACTAACTCCTCAAAATCCTCCCCAGATTCAGTATTCTCGAGCGTTCCAATTTAAACCTCTCGAAGAGAGGGGGTTGTAAATCATATTACAATTTCGGTAAACGGAGGATAAGAACCACCCTCCCGTTTGATAAATTCAGAACAATGTTTTCGCAATCCAAATTAAAATACAAACGTTACGAAAATGGGACATTTAGAGGCAGTATTCAAGCAAATGGAAGATGATATTTTGTGTTTAAAATGTGTTAGATAAAATTTGATCTAAAAAGTTTACACATTTTATACAAATAATTCATTACATCAACTGTTAGTTAGGTAAGTGTTAAAGTGTGTGTTGAAGCTTATTCCTGAATACATTTCCAACCGAACACAAGGAAAAGTAACACTGTAATGATTATTTGGTCATTTGGATAAAATAATACAAATATTGTAAGCGTTCAGCAGCAACAAGCCATTCTGAGACGATAATCGGTGTCACCTTACATTAAGAGGCTCGAAGCGAATGATATTGATATTTTTTTTATATTAGAGAAAAACGTTGCCCCACTTTAGGATTTTCTCCTGTATTGTGGGTGCGTTTACAAACATACAATGTCACATACACATGACACCCAGACCCGAAACAACAATTTGTGGATCACACAAAGTGTTGTTCCGTGCGGGAATCGAACCCGCGACACGTTGCACGGCAGCCAGTTGCCCAGCCACCGCACCAACCGTGCAGTCATATTCATGGTAACAAAGTTTCATTTCGCTAATTAGAATGTTTATGATGTATATCAAATCCGAAATAACATGCGATCAAATATGTCATGAACACACAAGGATCCTAATACTAAAATTAATTAAACTAAAACAGAGTGATTGGCACTTGTCTACGCCTTGAAAACCCTAATCTCCATACCATGACTACTCGTATAGCTAACTGTATCAGACCTGGGAAAAGGCTGAGTTGTCGACCTATATATAATGAAGTTGAATCCTACTTATATAATATAAAAGCATGTAAGTATGCGTAGATGGATGGATGTGAGTTTGTTACTTTTCCTCGTAAAACCAACTGAGTTGTATTGAAACGAAATTTGGCATAGAGATCTTATAGGTTTATAGTCAGTACGGGATGTTTCTCCGAAAAACCGACCAAACCAACCAAATAATTTAACATCTTCATCGAATGAAATAAATGCTTTTAAGCAAGGGTACAATTTGAGTTATTAAAATGACATCATTAATGTATTAACTGACTAGCTACTCACGCGCGGTTTCATCCGCTGCTCAGCTCGATTTGATCGTAGCGTGATGTTTTATAGCCTATAGGACTCAAGAACATTGTAGCTATCTATCAGTGAAAGAATTTTGTAAATCCGACCAGTGGTTCATAAGATTACCCCCTACATACAAACTTACAAATTTTACCTCTTTATAATATTAAGTATAGATGAATAGAATCACCCTCTAGAGGTGAAGCTAGTTGGCTATAATAAATGTAGTAAGTACAGTACATAATATAATAAACATTAATCTGGTACAAATATTTTGCGTAATATCAATGGATCTGTGTTAAGCATTGAACGTTATC